CACTCCCCCTGCTTGTGTTCCCTCTCTCACTGTCTCTCTCTGTCAAATAAATAAATAAAATCTTTAAAAATAAATAAATAAATTTTATAAAAAATAAAATAAAATTTGATAATTCATCCCAAACGTAAAAATGTTTGTTTTCTGATTGGGAAATTCCTATCAGTGCTCATCTGGAACGATGGACTGGGATATTTACCAGAGCCTAGTGTTTACTTCCCAATGAGAAAAGTGAAAGTCCTCAGACAGAAGCAGGTGTGGATCAGCCATAGCAGTTCTGGTTTTAGGGACAAACAGATTCACAAGCTCCTCTATCTTCCATGGATTATCCACCTGCTCATGAACCTCGGCGTCATCATTCGTAAAACAGAGCACTGCATGCTGCCTTTCGGACAGGACAGTTCGGATCCTAGCATAGAGTTCAGTCAAGGGCCTTCGTGATGAAGTGTCTCACATTCTGTGGGTCACTAGCAGTGTGACTATGGGCTATGTTCTTCCTCCTTTAAGCACTGGCCATACCTCCAAACTAGGGTTTTTTGAGGACAATTGAGTAAGGAGCTGTAACATGTTTAAAGCAGGACCTGGCATAGAGTATGTGTTTTGGTCCTTTTTCTTATTATTTCATTGATATCAATTTTAGTGACAAATCTGAATTTAGAGGCTTACAGATCGACAGCACATATTTTAAGGTAGATGGAAAAATATGTCAACAGATTAAAAATATGAGACAATCTTTTGGCAGCCTAATTCAACGGTCCTTCTTCTGTTTGATGTTGGCCTTAATGAGATTAATTCTACAAACCCTTTATATGACCAGTATTTTGAACTCTGGCCCAAGGAATTAGAACTGAGAAATGAGTGCTTTTAAATACACCGGAGATTGGAAGGACATGAACGACACGGGAGGGATCAGAGTGGTGTTAGCATCAAAAAACAATCACTCAGAACAAATGTGAGCAAATGAAAACAAAGCATTATGTTTGGGCAACTAAAAAATAAATACATTAAGTAATGAAACAAGGCCTTGGATTTTTAAACAAGATTCATTTCGGTGAGAAATATCTTAGTCTTTCTCTTTTAATGAAGTATATTGGTTGGGAATAAAGTAGAAAGTAGATAATTATATTGTTGCAGCTGTAATTTTATGTAATAGTAACTGAGGACTAATTATTTCACTAACACCTTTTTATAAGAAGTGAGTGAAAAGCCCGAATCTGCAAGATAAGTTTGAGGGAAAGATAGAAGAGCATTCATGAGTTCTAACATTGCTAAAAATATTAGTGAATTTATTAACACTATCATAAATAAGGTTGATAGTTTCCTATCTACAGATGTTCACAAAATGTATCAAAGTAGCAGATTTTTTTCTAGACATTTCCTACATAAATAACATCTACAGCATCATTTTATACTGTCACCAAAGTAGTCCTATTCAAATAAATTGGAATAAACTTGCATACAAATGCCTGTAATAAGTAGGGGAATTTAACTGAAATGGGAAACAGCCCTGTGGTTTCTGTCTGGTTCAGAATATTTATCATCAGCTGGAAACCTGGCCTATCAAAAACATGCATGCATTTACATCTCAGCAAACTGTTTATCTCAATTCAAAAGATCACTTATTAAAGCTTATCCATGTATTTTCTTATTTGCAACTGCTTATTAAAGAAGATGAATATCAACATTAAGCATTTTTAGTGCTTGAAAACATGTCCTAAAATAAATCTGACTCTCATTGGAAATTCTTATTTCATTTTTACAAGGTTTACCTGCATAATCAAACGCCAAAGAAGATTTGTGAATTTGACCTTTGTCAACCCATTTATCAGACTATTAACTCACTTGCACATTCATTTTTAAAAGGTTAGTGTCTCCTTCACGATACCTTCTTCCAATTAGAATGAATAATACACAAAGCTGTGAGCTCAGTGGTATTCTGTGCTGACAGCCTTGGAGTCTAGAAGTGGAAAGGCCTATGACCATAATCTGTTTGGAAATTATGATTTTCTAGGTTTCGGGACGTTAATATGAACATTTGCTATCACTCACAAAAAAAAACAGGAATCGTACAAATGGTTAAGCTTTGTGCTTTTGAACAATTATTCTAGGAACTAACATCTGCATCTATCCAATTATTCCAGATACTAACATCTGCATGTCCTCATTCGTTTGCTTTTTACAATAAATATTTCATAGAGAGAGATTTTGTATGACCCACTTTCATGCAACTTTTAAAGTAGTTTTAGAACAATACTATTTTCCTATGTAATGAGGGTGTGGACTTTGTTTCCATTCAGAAAGGTACTCAGTATAACAATGGAAGCTGGATGCAGAAAGAGTTGACCTTACTTTTGTATTCCAGGTGAAAGCCAGCAGCTGCCACACTAATATCAGACTGGAAATGCAGATAGAGCTGGTTGGAGGTGCTGTTCAGAAGGGCTGGGACTGTGGTTCCTGCAGGAGACATGGAGTAGAGCAATAACATGACAAATGCATTCACTTATCTGTCTATAAAATAGATGCGGGTATCTGTTTTGGTCTCCAAATCCCTATGGTCTGACAGCCACCTATGTAATCTGAGTATTGGCTTTAATCCTTTTGTACTTGGAGCCTTTCTCTTGTTCTCATACTGTAAAGTTACACATTTTCTCTGCTCTCCTCAAGCTGATGTGACATCTTTCTATTGTATCAGTACATGGACACAGAAATTCTTATATTTTACCATGCATTGGCTTTTCACATTGCATTCCTGTTTTTTTAAGATTTTATTTATTTATTATTTGGGGCCACAAGCATGGGGGAGCAGCAGAGGGAGAGGGAGAAGCAGATTCCCCACTGAGCAGGGATCCTGACATGGGGCTCGATCCCAGAGCCCTGGGATCATGACCTGAACCTAAGGCAGATGCTTAACCAACTGAGCCACCCAGGCGCCCTAAAGATTCATTTATTTGTGAGAGAATGAAAGAGAGAAAATGAGAGAGTGTGCCTGTGTGCGGGGGGGGGGGGGAGGGACAGAGAGAAAGAGAATCTTTAAGCAGACTCTACCTATGACCAGTGTGGAGCCTGATGTGGGGCTTGATATCACGATCCTGAGATCATGACCTGTGCTGAAATCAAGAGTTGGAGGCTTACCTGACCGAGCTACTCAGGTGCCCCTTAACAGAGATTTTAATCATGAAAAATATGATTATTAAGCAAACACAGTTATATGTAAAGATCAGAATAGTTTCTATTCAAGAAATTTCTAAATGGAGAACAGTTCTGAATTAGATGGACTTACTCTGTTAATAATATATTTGTAATGTAAATATATTAAATTTAATTCCATAATTTATCTGTAAATGTCTCTGAATTTTTTCATAGTTATGATGAATCCTATATTACTATGTTACAATTGTGTGTGTGCTACATGGATGATATAGATGGATAATTTCTTTTAAAAATGAGCATTCAAGAAAAGCTTCTTCATGGCTAACCTAAAAAAATAATTTTGGTGGGACACCTGGGTGGTTCATTTGGTTAAGTGTCTGCCTTCAGCTCAGGTCATGATCCCAGGGTCCTGGGATCTAGTCCCACAGTGGGTTCCCTGCTCAGCAGAGAGTCTGCTTCTCCCTCTGCGTGACGCTCCCCTTGGTCGTGCTCACTCACACTCTCTCTCTAACAATAAATAAAATCTTAAAAAAAAAGTTGTTAAAAAACAATAATTTTGGTATTTATATATTTATCTTTGAATGAGGGGAAACCCATAAAAAGATTTCCACTTCCACATGGGATATAGAAACCTGAAAAGTAAAGCATTGCTTTCAGTTTTACAATGAGAAAAATCTAAACCAAAAAGTCATAACTTTTCTTTTCTTTTTTTTTTTTTCCATAACTTTTCTTGAACTCATCCATGGGATGAGGTTGCAGGTACTAGCTGACAGCAATTCCAAAGAAGAATAAGCCCATTCCAGGAGATACAGGACGTGGAAACCATCTCTGTGACAGAATACAGGACAAAGGCAACCAACACTCACACTTAGGAAAGAACAAAACAAACCAGGTAACCTCTTGGCAAACTACTGAAGGCCAGGCATGGGGCCCAAATAGCTCAAGGACCCAGAGAGAGGGGAGTCTGCCCTTCCTTCCACAGGTGATTGTCAGAAATGTTGGGAGCACAGCAGGAGCCTGGAGGGAGCCCCCCAGATAGTTTTTCTATGGAGAGAAGGGTATGAAATATCACATGCTTCCCTGAACCCATCACTTATAGGCAATAGAAGTGTTAAACTCCTAGGGGAGGGGCAGCAAAATCTGTAACCTCCAGGGCACAGGCAAAGAGGCATTGCAGCTTGGAGAAGGGTGGATAAAAAAGGAAGATCTGTATCCAGGGTGTGGCAGGAAAACCGGCATGAATTTAGTATCCTCTACGGATTCCAAGATAATGGTCTCCTGGCACTGGGGACAGGCAGGAAGTCCCCCCTGAAGACAGACAACAGGTAGAATTAGAAGGCCTTGGGAGGGAGGGTGGGGATGCTGAGCGCACATCACCCCCACGTGCAGACTCTCGGGGTCTGGCTTTGGCTGGAAGAGAACGGCAGCAGAGCCCTGAGGCTGGCATGAGCCCAGCACAGAGTGATGGGTAATGGGAGAGAGTTTGCAGGGCGACCCCGTCTTCTGAAAACATGTTTAGGGATGACTGGAAACCAAGGTGGAGTACTGACCCTGAGAAAAGTCTCTGGAATTCAGCACATGGTGCTGGCAGCTCACAACAGGGGGAATCTGGAGGGCGCTGGAAGAAACCAGAACAACAGGACTCAAACCAGCTCACCCGGGGCCCGCAGGGACTCAGTAGCTTACCAACAGTGCTGTGCCCATCCCCAGGTGTACGTATTATGAAAAGCATTCTCCACCATTCTACTCAAGGTGTCCAGGTTTAGTAAAGCATTTTGAGACACACACAAAAAAGCAAGAAAAAGCAACCCTTTGTCCAGAGAAAGTGACAAAGCCAGATGCAGAACATACTCCAAGAATGGAGATATTAGATGGGAATATTAAAGTAACTATGAAAAATATGTTAAAGAATCTAGGGAGACAGGTCGCATGCATGAACAGATGGAGTAATGATTGTAGAGAGGCAATAATTATAGAAAAAGTCAAAAGAAAATTCTAGTTGGGGGACCCACAATATCAGAGATGAAGAATTCTTCTAATGGGCTCATTAGTTGATGTGACACCATTGGGGAAGGATTCAGTGAATCTGCAAAAGGGTTAATAGCAATCATACAAACGAGAACACAAGGAGAAAAGAGTGAATAAAACAGAAGTGAGCACCAAGAAGTATGAAATGATGTCACACAGTCTAACGTACATGTAATTGGAGTCCCAGAAGAAGCCAAAAGAGGTGGGGCAAAGTCAATATTTGGGATGGCAATGTGGCTGAGATTTGTTTGTGACTAACAGAAGATGTCAGAGCATATTGAGTACGCACATACAGTCAGCCCTAGACACACCATAATTAACCTGCTGAAATAAAACACAAAGATAAAATGTTGCAGCAAGCCAGAGAGAAGGGACATACACATGTCTACAGATACAGGAAACAACAGGTTACTTCTCATCATCAACTAAGAAGTGAGAAGACAAGGGAGTGACATCTAACATACTGAAAATGAAGAAAATTTCAACCCAGACTTCTGTACCCAGCAAAACATCTTTCAAAAAATGAAGGTGAAATAATGACTTTTTTAAAAAAAGCAAAAACGGAGAATTTGTTGCCAGCAGACCTGCACTACACGAAAGGCGAAAGAAAGGTCCTCGGACAGAAACTTGGATTGACCCAGAGACATAAAGAGTTTCAAAGATGCTAAAAACAAAGGTAAATATAAGAGATTTATTTTTATTTTCTATTCAGTCTAAAAGATCACTGTTGTAGTAAAGTAGTAGGAACGTAAAAACCAAAAGTAGTAAAAATGTTTTGTGGGCTTTATAGCTTATAAAAATAAAATGTAAGACAACGAATAACATAAGGGATGGAAAGCAGATACTAGAAATACACACTTGTAAGGCTCTTTTACATGAAAGGCCATAGTATCATTTGAAGGTGCTAAAATACTAAAGATGTATCTTTTAAACTCTCGGCAGAGCACTATATTTTTTAAGTTTTATCTAATCAGCCCATACTGGAGATAAATTGAAGCAATAAAAATATTCAGTTAAAGCAAAAGCTGGCAGGGAAAGGGGAGAATCAACAAAATACAAATCAGACAAAAAGAAAGGTTCCGATAGGGCATATGGCTTCAATCTTATTACCTCTTCTTCCACCAAATCCCACTGAAATCAATAAACCCTGGTTAACTGATATATTGACATATATGACTTATATATATCAATCAACAATAGATATTCCAATATATAAAACATTCTCTGCTCTTTTCGTGTTGAGTTCAAGGATAGCTGCCAGGAGCAAGTTCATATGCTACATACCCTTAGTGCAGATTTTCTAATTTCCAGGGTCAACCAGTATATTATTGTCTACGTACATCTGTAAGGTTTCATGATATCTGTTTGTTTTTTTTGTTCCATTTTGGTATTCTCTCTGAAGAAAAGAGCCCAGAGCAAGGGTGACCCCATGTAACTGTATCCAACTTCCCATTCAGATTAGAAGGACTGCTGGCTTCGAGAACACACAAAGCATTCAGTGATGCTGATCTTTTGAGTTTTTACCCAGATCATGCAGAGAACCTAGATCATACATACTGGATCAGGCCTTCTTGGAATTGCTTTTGCGATCATTAAAATTTTATAATTCAGGGG